TACGCTTAAAAAACAAATGGAGATAATAAAACACAAATTAAACTTAATAGAAGCTGAAGAAATGGCCCAACAAATCAAAAGAGCAAAACAAAACTTTTTTGAAAATGCTAATAAGCTGGGCAAATGGTTAGCCTATAAACTGAAAAAAGAGAGAAAAAACAGATAAATAAATTGCAAGATGTGAGAGGTGATTTACAATACCAAAATGATATAATAAAAAAATTAATTAAAGAATTTTATAAAACACTTTATGATAAAGAAGAAATTACTCAGGAAAAAATAAGGCAATATATAGAAAATGCTAACTTACCAAAATTTCCAGAGAACTTCAAAAACATGTTAAATGAGAAAATAACAATGATGGAGCTGACAGAAGCTATAAAAAGACCAAAAAAAAATGACAAGACACCAAGCCCAGATGGGCTTCCTGCAGAATTTTACAAAAGCCTACACGATACACTAAGCCCACTAATGCAAGAATTATGTAATAAAGTTTTAGTGGAGACCAAACTACCAAATACATGGATAGAAGCCAATATCACTTTAATACCAAAAGAAGATTCAGATTTGAGTCAGATAAAGAATTATAAACCAATATCTTTATTAAATGCGGATTACAAAATTTTTGCTTCAATAATAGCAGAAAGATTGAAGAGATTTTTGATTGAATTCATACATCCAGATCAAAATAGATTTTTACCAAAGAGACAAATAAAGAATAATTTAAGAATGATCTTAGATACTTGGAATATTACAAAATGCATCCAGGGAAACAAATAGCATTATTTTTTTAGGTGCGCAGAAAGCTTTTGATAATGTCAACTGGCAATTTATAGTACAACAATTAAGCCATATGGACTTTGGAGAAAATTTTATAAATATAATTAAAACAATTTACTATAGACAAACGGCCAAAGTAATTGTAAATGAAGACTTTACAGAGAATTTTAATATTAAAAAAGGCACAAGATAAGGGTGTCCACTATCTTCATTATTATTTGTTTTAACTCTGGAAGTGCTGAATAGAAATGTTAGACAGGACCCCAAAATTAAAGGTATGGAGATAAAAGATGAAAAATATAAATTACAAGTATTTGCGGACGATCTGGTATTTATTTTAAAAAATCCCTTGGAGACAAGCCCTAAATTATTGATAAAGATTGAAGAATTTGTAGAAGTAGCAGGACTGAAAATAAACAGAGATAAAACTAAAGTGATAGTTAAAAATCTTACGGATAGACAAAAAATCAACTGTCAGAAAAAACAGATCTCCAGATAGTTAAGAAAGTTAACAGCAAGGTGTCGACATTAAAAGAAGATAATTATCTTAAACTATTAAAACAAATAAAATTAGATTTGGAAAGATGGAAAAATTTACAATTATCAATCTTGGGAAGAATAGCGACGGTGAAAATGAATATTTTACCAAAACTACTTTTGCTATTCCAAACAATACCTATAAAATTAGAGAATTTTTTTATGAGTTAAATGCATTGATTCTGAAATTCATCTGGCAAAGCCAGAATAAGACTGAAATTACTGCAAGAAGCAAAAGAAAATGGAGGATTTGGGCTACTAGACTGGGTTCTATACTACCAAGCAGCTGCATTAACATGGATTAAATTAATATTTCTTTATCAGACCAAAAATGAAACTGGAACACAATAATATCTGCAAAATAATTATAATATGTATAATTTCCTGTTTGGGATAGACCTATTTATGTTATTTTCCTATGTCTTTGAGTTCAACATTAGAAAAAATAAATAAAATTGGTTAACACACGGCATAACACCATGGTGGCAAACCTATGGCACGTTTGCCACAAGCGGCACATGGAGCCTTCTCTGGTGGCACGTGAGCCATTGCTGGGCCGAGCTGCTCCCTCCTCCATTCTGTGCATGCGCAGCTTCCTGCAGCTCTCTGCGCATACGCAGTCTGGGAATAGGCGAGAAGCTATAAAGGGAGCAACTTTCGGCGGAAGCAGCATTTGCTGCAGACATCGAGAGAGTGAGCACGAGTCGGAGCGTGCCATTTCCACCATAGTTACGCCCACCCGGTGGGCCACACCCACCTGGCACCCGGCAATGTGTAAGTGGGTTTTGGGTTGCAGTTTGGGCACTCGGTCTCTAAAAGGTTCGCCACCACTGGCATAACAGAACCAGATTGCAATCTAATCTGTCTAGATTGGAAGATTGGGTTGAATGGAACATGATGCTGTTCAATGGGAAGAAATGTAAGTTATTACATTTAGAGGAAAAAAGCAAGGTGCACATACACAAAGAAAAATGGCACAGAAGAACTAAATTGGAGAAGGACATGTATTCACTGATAAGAAGCTGAGCATGAGCTAGCAGGGTGAAACAGCTACTAGTTTGAGTGTAATTGTGGGCTACTTTAGAAGAAGCACTATACTAAAAAAGATGAAGTACTTACTCTTCTCTATTTTACCCTGATGTACAATATAGTGTAGAATAAGGGCTATATGTGAATGTGATACTGATCACATTAGAATTGATTCAGAAAGGAATGATACACGGACTTAAAAATAAGTCCTATGAAGGCTGAAGGAACTTGAGTTATTCATTCTGGAGAAAAGATAACCCATGAGAGACATAATATCTGTATTCAGGTGTATTAAAGAGATAAGGAAAACAGTCAGGAACTATTTGCCATTGCCACAGAAACTAGGACCGGAAATAATGGATAAAAATTGCATAATTTATAAATATATAAGGAAAGATTTCTTGATGGTAAGATGTATACAGCAATGGAACAGTCTACCTATGGAGGTGTTTAAGAAAAAGCTGGACAGCTTTATTTTAATGATAATTTACTTGTTTTTTCCTGCATACTGTAGAGGGTTGGACTAAATGATCCTTGGGGTCACTTTTAGTTCCACAATTTTATGATTCAAACACTAAGTTTATCCCAGGCTATAAATATTATGCAATGGTGGGTATCTATAAATGTACGATTTTGCCTAGCATCCCTTAAAACTGTTTCAGCTCTTAGTAGTTGAAATCAATTAACAAATAACTAATAATTCAATAAGCTACTAAAATTTGTTCCTATTTTTTTCTGTTGGTCTTTTCTTATTCTAGCCTTTCTGCTAAAGCTATATGCTCACTAAAAACACCTAAACATAGCTATGTATTAGAAACTGCTTTTTAAAAAATTCTCAATAGAATATTCTTGGAAGATAACTACATATTTGTATAGTGGATCTTATAAGAAGATATGCAGACTTAGTATTTGTGCAGTATCATCCAGTGATGCATCCTGGACTTCCCCCCCATTGTCCCCCAAATTATCTGCCATGGAGGCTGTCACTCTCCAGTGGCAAATTTAAATTTCTAACATAAAATTCTGTTGAAAATAGATTAGAAGAATTGTAATTTAACATTCAGGGTTCCCTGCTGAAAAAAACACTGCAGACAGTTAAGTACTCTAAATAAGAATCAAATCAATATTTTAATTTTAAAAAGGATAATTACAATAATATACAATACATAAAAAGAAAAAAATGAGATTTTTTGAAGACAGTGAACAAAGTTAAAGCAGATAAAATTACTCATATTCAATCACCTATGAATGTGTAAAAAAACTAGACACAATCCTGTCCTAACAAGGGTATTGGGCCCATATTGAGATTATTTGTGTAGGATTACTTAAAGCATTATTTCTTCTCCTGCTTGAATAGACAGGTTGCAAAGAGCTGAACACATCTCTATTGGCATTCAGTTATTACTTGGGTATGTGTTTTTTGTACTGCATGTTCTCTAGTACTGGATTGTGCCCAACTAATGGTTCTGAAAAGTAAGCAAGAATTCAAAGTGCAGGTGCTCCATTTGTCATTCAACACATTCTGTTAATTATAAATAAAGTGACGGTTTCATTCATTAAGATTTTCAAACATTTGATTACATTTTCTTGCAGCTATTTTACAGGTTACATTCTTGCTAATAACTTTTAATGAAGGATTATGCAATTTGGTTATGAATTTGTCATCTACAGTACACTAAGTTTATGATGTTTGGGATTAAAGTATCAATAAGACAGAATTATCTACAGAATTTTTAAAAAGTCTCATTTTTTAAAAAGGGGTACCATTAACTGTTTAGGTCAGGATGTTGACAGGTATCAAGAAAAGTTCCTGGCAGTATCCCCGAAGAATGTTTTAAAAAGTATTAAAAAATAACAAGACTTCTTAAAAAAAATATTTGAAGAGACACCTATCACGTATGCTGCAGAGTTTACTTTTCAAGTTGACAGCATCTCTTTCTATTTTTTTCTGAATCTATTTTTATACAGGCACAACAGCTGCAGTGCAGACATGGAGTTCCTGTCCAATTTCCCCTTAATTAGTTGAGAGAGAAGCAGCTCTGTATGCACAAAAGCTATACTAATACAGTGCTACTTCTGCCAAGTTATAAAGAAAATGTTATAAAGGAACTCTACAGACACACTGCAGCATATTCTGTACTTGCACTATTCTAAATTATTAAGGTTCCTTCCTTATTAAGACGTTTCAGATCTGTCTGACAAACATACACATATAGTGTTCAATAAGTTAGAACTGAACAAATTTTCACTATTTATCCAGAGATAGCAAGACTAACAATACATATACCAATGACAATGATTTCCCTTCGACTGACTCAGAAGAGCATTTTAATGATATTTCCCATTATACAAAAAAATAATAATAATTCAAAATAAAATAGATGTACTGTACATCCTAACATGTTTACATAAACAATTACTAATAAATTTTGTGAACACCAGGACCTGTGTAGGCTATAATAAATATTTCAAAAACCTAAAAGAATTTTAAAAAACTCTACTTATCCAGTCCATTTAGCTCAGGTGTGTCAAACTGCCGGCCTGCGGGGTGGAGGCATCATCCAGAAGCCGCACCTACCCCATTGCCAGTAATGGCAAAACCGTCCCAATGTGTTGTGTGACATCACATGATGTCGCGAGTTTGACATGTCTGATTTAGCCTGACATAGCAGAGATTTCATAATCACTTGCTGATATTATGGGTTTTCCCATCATCCGCACATTCTTAGCATTAGTAATTCTTGCCATCATACACACTGGTTTATCAAAGTACCGCACAAGTGCTGGTTCAGTCAACAGGGAAGCCAAAAACTGCTCAAAGGTGATAGCCCAGTCTCTGTCAATACTACTATTACTTCTTGGCAGAGAAGCTGGGTTGCTGCTTCGTACCAAAACAGTATCTTCACTGATGTCTTCACAGTGCAGCTTTTCCTCCTCATGAGAACCTGCACTCAGGACAGAATACGAAGACATGGAGCTGTCATCTTTAGTATCATCATCAGAAATCAACATTGAAGAACCAGCTCCATTATCCCTAGGAGAAGAATCTTCCAGTTTAACATCCTCCATCTGTGAACTGTCACCACAAATATTCTCCTCTTCATCAAGAAAACCATTTTGAAAATGATCGTGTTGGTCAAGGCGGTACTGCTGGCTCCCTTTCTTCTGAATCAGCACATTCGGAATGGTCTTACTGCTATTCTCAGCGTCGTTAATAGATTGGACACTAAATAGCTTACCAACTTCACCAATCTCTAGAAGCAAACTTGTCACAGCTGCAGTTGCATGATAAAGATCCTGTTCATTGGGGTCTTCACTGAACATATTATACATGGTCTTACATAGTTCGATAAATTGCTCCTAGATGTAAAAGATAAATATAATGCTTTGTTGGTAAGCAGCTGTTCATCCTATTCAAATCCAATGGTTAGATGGGACTCTTAGATGTTTTTCTTCCAACAGACTAATTAGACAACATCTGTCTAGTTTCAATAATGACATTATCAAGTGTTCCCAGATTATTTGCTGGGGCCCAAGAGAAATAGTGAAAACATATTTTGTTTGTAAGAGATTATTTTTTTACACATACACACGTGTGCTTTTGATGAATGCTTGTTTCTAGGTAATATTTAATTAACAATAACCAGTGCAATCTTGCACAATAAGTAGTTTTAAAAAGATTTTTAGCAGTATCTAGCATGAAATCCAATTTAGGCACACTATTCTTGGGCACATGATAGGAATACAACACATCCAAATTCTCATAGAACCTTTCATCTTTAATAAAGATGTAAAAGATATAGAAGAAAAAGGAATAGTAAGCCCAGTTTTCCCAGGGATAGAATCTTTTAGAATTGTTTGCTTTGTTGCATGCCTCCCATTAAAAGCCCCCTGAGAGCAAGTGTTGGGCCAATTTGTTTATCTAATTAAAAGTGAAATATGTAGATTTTAATATGTATATACACACACACGCACACACACACACACATAGTATATATACACATACATACATATATCCATGCATAACTATAGGCAGAATTATAAAGGCAATTATTAGAAATAATCCACTGGATAGTCTATGAAAAAGAATAAACAGACACAAATCTGACACCTGAAATTTCAAAACAAGCCCTCCCCCCAATAAAGCCCTCAAATGCCCTAAATCTTTAGTTCCATCCACTCTTATATGAGGTTCCAGGCAGGGCAAAATGAAAAAGTGAAGCTCCATCGATTACAGGCTGCTCACCTTTAATATAGAGCAGGGATAGTCAACCTTGGCTCTTTTATGACTCGTGGACTTCAATTCCCAGAATTCCTGAGCCAGCTGACTACCCTTGATATAGAGCATGAGAAGAATATAAAGGGAGCCCACTGTCCTGCTTCCCCCTTTTAATTTGGATATCTGCAATCGGAACTAAATCTTTCAAACTTTAATCCCATCTCAAGGTTAAGCTATGTATATGCTTTACTGACATGAAATACCCATCATGCACTTTTAGTATCGTGCATATGCTAATTTTGCATTTTTCAAAAGTATAACTTTTATTAAGTTTAGAAGAACACTTACAGTACCTGGTTTAGTTTAGTTAAGTCCTTTGCATTTCTGGCTTTGGATTTATTCTCTTGACTCCAGATTTTAAGGCAATTTTTATTTTCTTGAGAATTCTTCTTTCCTATTACAATCAATTATCCGAAACACAGTGAAGAGATGTTTATCTGATTATGGTCCAAATACAATTCCCCTAATAGTCATGATGTTGTTGGTAAAGATAATGAACAGCATACCTTTTTCTGTTTTCAAACTCACATTAACAAATCCCTCTTCAACTCCATGTTTGTTCCTTCCTTCTACAGCAACAACTAATAAAAGAATAAATATATAATAAGCGCTCTTTTTTCAAAATGCGATGGTACAGTAGCCTAATTTACACTCAAGATTCTCTTAAATAAAACTCAATTCCCGATGACTACATGAACTTGACCTTTTTTTGTTTGCTATTGTTGTTTACAGCAACGTAATTGATCATTGCATCCTTTTCAATGCTTTTCAATCACCCAAAGTATTCTAAAGCCTGGGGATTCTTGGTGGTCCAAATATTAATCAGACCTGAGCCTGATTTGCTTTCTCAAGATCAACCAAGTTGATCTGTGCCAAGGAAAGCAAACTAGGAAAGCTGGGAGTTTTTCCAAGACAAAATACTGTGTTTTCAAGAACTGACTTCCCTGTTTTGTGGAATAATTCTAATCAAAAATCTGAAATAAGAAAAATCTTTGGTAGAAGGCATCAACTACAACTCTGTACTAGAATTAGATACTAAAAGGAAAGAACCTATTTTTATTGATCGCTGCCCCAAAGCCATCACTAGTTTGTAACAAACAATAAGGCTTTACTGTATCATTTGCAGAATATGGAGCTGCACTTATGGTAGTATCTCCCACTATTGAATAGTTATGATTAATATTTCCAGTTTCACGTTCTTCCTCTACCTTAATTAATTCATTAGTTCTCTATAAACTGTATTTTCAGCAATTTGGGAAGATACTCTACGTTAGTAGGGAAGAGTGTTTGTTTTTGTATATTTATGTTCATATTTATCTATGTTTATATACCATTTTATTAAACATGATTGATATTTAAACTACCAAATGATTATATGGAATACTGATCTTGACATGAACATTATTTTAATTTACCATTATCTTCTCAACAAAAACTCTCGACAAGAGCCAGTTTGGTCTAGCGGTTAAGGCACTAAGCTAGAAAGCAGGAGACTGTGAGTTCAAGTCCTGCCTTAAGCCATGATAGCCAGCTGGGTGACCTTGGGCCACTCTCTCTCAGCCCAACCCACTTCACAGGATTGTTGTGGGGAAAATAGGAGGAGCAAGGTGTTCTGGGTATGTTTGTTGCCTTGAGTTATTTGTAAAAAACAATAAAGGTGAGATGCGAATGAATACATACAAAATATATTGATCCAATTTGTGAAACCAGTCTTTAGATCTATCATGAGCTACAGGTTTAGAAACAAATATTCTAATATTTGTTGGTAAGCCATCTATTTGTATGTGGAATTCACAAATTTGCTTACTGAATCTGTAATTGTAAGACTCTGAAAATGCAACATTTAAAAGACATCTTGATAAACGATTGTTCTCCTCACTCTAGACAAGCTGTTTTTTCTTTTGAAGATAAGAGGAAGACTTTACAAAATTATCAATATGCTTTAGTCAGGAACGAGAAAACTAACACGTCTTTCTACCCTGTGTACACTCTGGTGTAATGTCTTCAAAGAAGTACTGAGTTGCTTCAAATGCTGAATCTGGCTCTTCTGGATCAGAAGATGGATCTGTACAAACAAGTATAAGAAATCATCAACAATTTTCATATTTTACACAAACACCCCCCATATCTATCGTTTATAGCTGGAATACTACACAGGTAGTACTCCAGTTACGACGGCAGTTGGGACCAGAATTTCTATCACCAAATGATGCGGTCGTAAAGCATGATATCACTGGACTGCATCGCTTAGCAATGGCAATCCCTGCAGCCCCTCTTACCATCACCTAAAATGGTATAGGATTTCACATGAAAGGTATTATCTACAAATTATCCCATGCTTACATACCTGGCAAAACATGCATTTTATAAAGTAGTTTCAGTTTCTCAGTAAGATCTCCATGACATGCTGCACCTAGAAGCAATTGAGTCGTTGTAGTAATCCTAAATATATTCATCTATTAAGTGTCATCAATTTAACATAAAATATGCTCTTCTGAAATAGTTAATATCACTGATACTTGCTTCTAGATAGTTGAATCTGTTAAACTTAATACCCTTGTACAAAACTCAGTACAGTTTTTTAAAATCTTTGAAGCCCAGTAAATCACAGCTTTACTCATTCAAACAACATGGCCTTACACATTACCATTCCCAGCCAAAAGCTAGACTTAAAGGTACAGCTTCAGGCAACATTACTTTGTCCATCCTTTTGTACACTAACCAGACGTTATCTCTCCTTCTGTAAGTATTGAATGGTGGTATTTTGCCACCATATCTGGGTAGAATAGAGTGATCAGCAAAATCCAAATGGATTTTCTTTCCTTGCCTGGTGAGATTTCAATGCAAGGAGATGGATTTTGCTCAGTGTCAAAATCTACAATTGTATTATGAAGCAAGATGTAGTATCTTACTTATCTTGAGTAACTAATAACATCATTTTATCTCACTATAACATAGGCCTATCTGTAAACCTTTGATCTTACAGAAAAATAAAATACATTGGATCAACTGGGCAGCATATACTGTAAGCAAGTTCAGATGATTACTTGTCCCTTTAAAATAGTTAAAGAGGCATTGCTATATAGACCAATTCAAATATAGATTAATTCTGGGATCTGAGGTCAATTTCAATATTTTCTGTTCTTTAACTGAATCCTGTCTTCATAAAGAAGAATAAATTTTGAGATTGTCTGTACACATGTAAACAGTGATGATTTTAAATGAATTGCGCAGTCAAAGCCAAAATAATCGGCATTAACTCAGATATATCACCTAATCTCAGAAAGGGGGGTGTATTTCTACTAATAGATTACAAATAGGAGAATTTGAAGGACAGAATATTAACTAGCTATAAACAATGGCAAAAAACCACAAATACACAAATATAATGCAAATCTGTCTCATGAATGATTGCATGCCAAGACAGTAATGTTACAGTTAATGGTGATAATAAAGAGAGCCAAATGCCATTAGATAAGCAGTTTCGTTCTTACTAAGTCCAGAAACAAATTCTCGGAAGTTAATTAAGGAATCGCCATTTTCATCCAGCAATCTGAACAAGCGTGCAGCTAGAACATCAGAATGAGTTCCACATGCCCAAGGAAAGAGAAGAGTAAACATCCCTTTGAACTGCTCAAAATCTATGCGGTACTGTTCCAAATAAGGCAAGCTTGGATCATGACGGTCAGTGGCATTGCTGGTGCCTCCCCAGTAGCAGCTAGTGAGATGTTCTGCCTGAGAATAATAATAAGGCATGTGGAATTATTATAATCTCTGTAGTTATTTCAGCAACATCTATCACTGTCTATGCAGTTTAAAAACATCTTAATATAAAAATGTTTTTCATACTGCCTGATATAGAACACAGAAATAGAACAAACTCCATCCAGAAACGTTTCTACCTACATATTACTATCGTCACAGGCCTTTCTGTTATTGAGTTCCAAAACTGTGGCCTCCTAGTCACTTCATACACCTGGGACAAGAAATAATTTAGAAGCCCAAGTTACCTAGCATTAAAATGTTGGTCTGGAATGGAAAGATCCAAGTTCAAATCCATATCTAAGTATGGAACTCATTGGATCACTTTGTACCTTTACTATCTCTTAATCTAGTTGATCTCACAGGGATGTTACTATGAAAACACACTGAAGGAAAGTCCATTATATGTTTGTTTATTTATTTATTTATTTATTTAAGAAAATGTATGTGGCCACCGAACTCATTCTCAGTGACTCCAGATAGCTTTATAAAGGTGTTGCCTAGAAACCCTACAGGAGTGGTTAGTATATACTGTACGTGTAAACAACAAATTTTGAGTTTCTGTTTATAGATTATATTTATATCTGCCTTTTTAAGCAGACAGAGAAAAGTGCCATATGTATCAGATATATTTATATTATTATTTGAGATTTACTACAATATTTGATTGAAAAGAAAGCTGGCTCTGCAAGTCCAGTGAATATTCTGGGTACAATTTACTCTGTAACTTCAAATCTGGTTTTACAGCAAGCATGCAGCTATGATCATTTTTCGGGGTGAAAACAATTAATTGGGGTCCCTTTTTGTTGATTATGATCACAAAAAGATTGTCTACATAGCAATAGTCACATTTATTATCCTGATGAGCATTTCACTCATTTTAAAGTGTAATTTAAATACCGTATCCCGGTATATTAAGGGGAAATGAAAAAGTTCTGCTTTATAAATTAAACATTTTCTCAGTAGCACATTTTGGTCTCTTTAAATTATTTTAGTGAAATTAGTAAGAAAAAGGCAGTGCGGTATCTGCTATAAATATCATAGACACAAGACAGCTATTTGAAGGTTACCTTGAAAAGGGCATAGAGTTCTTCCAGCTCATCTATTGTAAATGAAGTTTCAGTTACTATGGTTCGTACCTTTAAAATATAAACAGGAGACACTTTAAACATGTGTACTTATCTTTAATATTTAAATTCAAAGAACAAAACTCCCAAGAACTTACCACATTTCGTTTGGTAGTATCTTCTAGGGTTTGAATGACCTTCAACCTTTGTTTGAATCTCATTTGTTCAATCAAATCTGCTCTAATGGTGCCAAATTTCTAAAAGAAAAAAAATAACAGTCATTCTTCCTACAAAATTTAAGAAACAAAATTCACTAAAAGACAATTTCACTTAGACGTTGCCTAAATATAGTACCTAAGATATGACTAAAGGTATGACTAAATGTAAAATCAGGGGTTTTTATCTTTTTTTTTTAAATAGCAGATTGAAATACATATTCTGACATGACAGAAAAATAATCATATCAAAAGGACAGTACTAAGGTGATATATCTAAGAAAAAATTAATTAGGCAGAATTTCAATGTATTTTAAATATTTCAGTCCTAAAAGCATCTCTGCATATCCCAGAGATCACAACTTTTTCTACTCCTTTTCTTCAACTAGAAAGAATGGAGCAAGGATAAAAGAGGTCAGTATTTCAACATGTTGCAGGTGCAGAAATCTCTACCACAGGTTCAGGTTAGGCAGTAGATCTCTTGGACCCTCTACTATTTCTTCTAAATGAGTGAATAAGGGAGCACAAAAAGCCACAAAAATATACACTGCAATATTATTACTATTGTTCTGGGTATGACTTCCATAAGGATAAGATATGAAAGAAGGACGAGCTTCACAATTCACTTTTTGATGTAAATCTATCACACATTTAAAGCCACCAATGCATAGATTCCATACTAAATATAGTCAGAAAATAATTAGAGCCTTATGTATGCTCCTCTGTGCTATTGTGCCTTTTTAATGTCATGGAAACTGGACTTCCATTCATTTTCCATCATACATGGAACCCTCGTTGCTGTTGTGCTTCTATTTATGTATCAATTGGGACAAGCCAGTTGTCAGAGAGCCAGTTTGGTGTACTGGTTAAGGCACCAGGCTAGAAAGCAGGAAACTCTGAATTCAAGTCCTGTTTTATCATGAAAGCCCACTGGGTGACTTTGGACAGTCACTCTCAGCCCAATCCACTCATGGGCCTGTTGCTGTGGGGAAAATAGGAGGAGGAAGATATGTTGGATATGTTTTGTTAAAATAATAATGGTGGGATATAAATAAATAAAAACAAATACCGGTAAACCCTGCAATCACTGCCAATTCAATCCTATAATCAGGAATGCATGCTATTAATTTCAACAGTGATTTCATCCAGATAAGGGGATTTAGAATCTATATACTGCTAAAACTCTGCTTTTTGTTTGTCTGTTTGTAACCTTCCATTAACCCAAACAATGCATCATAGCACACAAATTTTTGAATTAAAGTATCTTAAATCTACCAACTTAAAGAATGCATGTGAAATCTGGGTGCACTATTCCCACATAATTGAAATTTTAAGGATCTTTACAGCAAATTGTATTTTCAAAGTTGTGGCTACTGAAGCATTGGCACAACTAAGGAAATTGTAATTTTCAACACTCCCTGCCAGCTGCCTAAAAAAAAATGGGGAAAAAAATAGGAAACTGGAAGCCATTTCCACTACCCACTGCTTTTTTGCCCACCCATGGTCATTCTGTTTATATCTTCAGGTAAGGAAATACCTCTAAATACCTCAGGTAAGGAAATACCTTTTTGTATTATTTACATACAATTCAAAAATAGTTCCTGCTCTTCCTGTGTTGTGCAGCTTTCCCAACTTCATGTGTTGGAAATAGAGAAAAGGTCTCAGAATTTCTAGCCCCGTGGTGGCGAACCTATGGCACATGTGCGACAGGTGGCACGCAGAGCCCTCTCTGTGGGCACACACACTGTCGCCCCAGTCCTAGGCCTTCAGCTGGGTTTTATAAAACCTTTTCGCTTTAGGCCTCCACCGCTGTGTGCAAAAAAAAAAGGATTAAATCAATCAATCAATTTCAACTTCTTGCAGGAAAAAAAATCTCGCAAAGTTGGAATTGATTGATTGAACTTTTTAGTCCCACCCAGTCTGCCGTTACCACTGCAGTCATGCCCACCCAATGGACCACACCCACCCAATTGGCCACACCCACCCAATGGGCCACACCCACCCGGCACCCGACGATACATAAGTGGGTTTTGGGTTGCAGTTTGGGCACTCAGTCTCTAAAAGGTTCGCCATCACTGTTCTAGCCAGACTAGATAATAGCCATGAAATTCCAACAATCTTGGAGGACAAAGGATTACAGAGGAGAGGACTAGAATCTGACAAGTCATTTGCTTGGTGGGTGTGTCTTTTTCCTACTCATGTTTAATTACCAATATGTTCATGAAATTACCTGATAGGAAGTTCTGATGAGCCTAAATATATCTACTTCAGGATAAGGCCCTATGTCATCACTCAATAGTGAATGAAGATGAGGAATTGGTGGCAAGGTGCTGTCCTTATTGGTCACACTGTCTAAATATCTAGAGGTGGCAAGAAAAAAAACAATAATATACCATATTTTAATTCAAGTGTAAAGTACAATTTCTCTTACATTTAGTCACACAGGCATACTGCAAAAAAATGGAAATACATTAGAATATTTATAAATATTCTAATATTCTAATATATATATTTTTCCTAAAGAGCTCTTCTTTTAAGCAGCCCCCACTTGGCATTCATTTTTGGATTTCCAAATGGCCTAGTTACTTTTCTCATCTTCTTCCCATCCATTATGTCATCAAGCAGTATTCACCACTTTCATTCAGATCTATTATATTTGCCTTTCTCTTAGTTTGTAAAACAAATGTGTATCTATTTTTCTTTGTCACTTCATGCTCATTTAATCCTCTCATATTTCAAATCACAGTCTTCCATATGCCAAGTCAAAATGGGCCACCAATACAGGCTTCAATCACCTATCATGGATTTGTTCAACCAAAGCTTTCTCCAACACTTTGTAAAGAGACAGAGAAAGGGCCTTTGTCATATCTAATCACAATGTTCCCTGCTAACAATAAGGACAGTACCAGTTAGTTTGAAGTGATTTGGGCCAGGTTGACAACAATGGCCCAATTTTATTCTAAGTATGTCTGATCTGCATTAGGGATTTCCCTGCAAGCTAAATATTGTTGCCAGCATTCTATCGTTTTGGAAATATATGCAGTGTATTGACACGTACTCGTGGTTCAAGAAGCAAAATATCAACAAATGTTTTATTTTTAGATAGTCACATTAAAAGTCACAACAGTTCTGAAGCTTTAAATAGTTTTCTGGTTTAAACCATTCCAGAGTGATCCAAAGACAGTTGAAACTTGAAACAGTGTTATGTGCCTATGTGTGATTAAATCTACTAAATGCAACAGAAGCAGCAATTGTTTAAAGATAAAAAACATATTCATTTGAAGGAGATATTTGAGTTCTGCTCTGCATATATGAAATCCCAGGAAATTTTTATTCTAAAACCTCTAGCAAAAACCTCTAGCAAAAAGGCTGGGCAAGACTTCTCTTTGGACCAGGAATGACAATGCTACACTAAAGGAATTACTTAACTCTGTAGAAAACTGCCTCTTATAATTAAATCAAATTACAAAGAATAAAAGAAAATAAACACTGAAGTAAAGTGGCTAGCAGAGACTAATTAGTAAGAAAGGACACTAAAAGCCAAAAGCCTCCACTTAAGAGCTAAGCTTTCCTTGTGTTATATGAAAAGCTTCTGGCAATGCAAAATTTCTAATTTAAAGGTGGAGGGGGGAGTGACTTGCTCTGCATGTAATTGAATGGAAGGAAAATCTGCAATTAGAGTACTTACCTTCCCAACACAGTCATAGCTTCACCATCATCTTTACAGTTCAGCAACTTCTCTACATTTGCATCTAGCACAGCTAGTGCTAACTGGAATATCACCTTTATACCCTCATAGAAGAAACAATCTACCACCACAACAGCACTTTCAAAAGGCATTACACTGAGGAAGAGTGTGAGGAACCATGAAAGAGAGATGGTTGAGATGACTCCCAAATCCTGCATGCAGTCATAGAGTTGTGGGATATAATCTCGAGCTAATTCTTCAAACACACCTTGATCCACCAGAGCACCTGGAAGGCATAATCAGCATTTGATATGTGAAACTGGAATCAACAGAATATGTATTCATGCCCATCTACTAAAATGAAGTACTGTAGAAGCATTTTCCAAGTTCAACCATGTTGAATTGCATTGAGGTAGTCCACTTAGGTGTTTTTAATTTTGTCTGCCTCAGTCAACATGACCAATGGGAAGAACTGTGGAAACTACAGCCCAAATCATCTTGGGACATAAGGTTATCTACTTATTAACTACACTATTTCCTCATTCAGAAGAGAGGCCTTTTTAAAAACATGCATACTTGTTATCTGATTCACATAAATGTAAATAAAAATAATATTAATATTGTTAATATTAATATTAATAATAGCCTACTTAAATAATTGTTTCCCAATTTAAGTAACCAGCAATCAACACGACTTTAGCAATATCTGCAGTTTATAAAAAACATGGATTTATTTTACACACTAGGAACAAAATACATATACCTTATATTTAGCTGTGATATGAAATAAGAAAGCATAAAAATGTAACATAGATAACTGCCTACTTAATTAGCTCTAGTATCATGCCATATAATGGATTCAAACATCCAAATCTGCAACTCAAATTTAACTTTTTGATAGTTTTAAATAATTTCCCAATTATTAGCCTTTTACAAAGTCCTATTAACATACCAACAACTCTTGTGTTGTAGTAATCTGGCAGCATACGCTCACATAAAGCCACCAGCAACCAAAATGCTTCCTCTTCCTTTGCATACAATAGCAAGACTGATGTAACAATATTCATGGCCTAGAAAATATTTAAGACACACAGTTATCTAATTTGACACATTTTTCGTAACAGATTCTGTCAAGCAGTAGACGGATAATGAGCAAGTTGCTATGACTTTTGCTAAGATTTCAAAAATATTTCCCATGAGATTTAAAACCAAAGAGCCCCCAACATTCTTTCTCACAGGAAAATCACTGGAGGGATTAACTATAGTTTTAAAAGGCTAGAGGGGGATGATAAAACATGAATAGGAAAAATATTTTATTGATTGTACTGATATTACCGAGTGCTGCAAGCAAACAATCAAGCTCAGAGAGCACCATGGACTCCACAGATTTTATTTTCTTAGTGCCAGTTGTAAAGAACTCAATTATTCCAATGTTACTTTCTCTAACACGACAATTTTCAAGTATTGAGGGCCATTCATCAAAACAGGCAGTGGAGAAATGGGATGATAGTATCAGCAGGCTCAAGGGAACCAGACTAAAAATAAAATAATAATAATAATAATAAAAAGTAATAAAATAAAAATATAAAATAGATGATAGCTCCCAGAAACTGCCTCATGGAGACAAAGCATATTCAGTAGTAACAGAATGTTAGGTGTCGGTCAGAAAAGAAAATCAGAAAGGAGAGCAGATAATAAACATCACAAGACCCTTCTAGGAAAACACAGCTGACTGGAATCCGGAACAAGAGCTTCCTCCACTGGACAGGAAGATGCAAGTGATGTGCAGTGTTGGGATCTAAAGCAGGAAAAAGCACTTTCAATTCAGTGTGAGCACCTCTTCCTATCTGCCAACTGCTCTTTAAAAAAGCTGAGGGGCTCACACAATGTCCACATTTTGAGGGGCTCACACAATGTCCACATAGGTCCAAGAAAATATATGTTAGACTTAAGATGGCCGTAACATTTTAAAATGCTTTATGACAGAAATATTTCAGATCTGCTTTTATGAATAAGGTGACCCACTGGTTGCTCCCCACAATCTTCCTATAGATGTAATTTCTGTTTTAAAAAGTCTATTACCTGGATCACAAGATTACCAAGACTTCTTATTACATAACTGATAGATACTATCTAATAGTTCAGGGGACTGAAACATGCAGCCCTCTAAGTCATTTTCTGTAGCCTAAAATCATAGTTTGTGAGAGCTAAAGACATGACCAGGGACACCAGATTAAGCCATAGAAAATTATCCAAGAAGTCGAATAGCCTGACTGTGGCAGCTTACCAGTTCACCCTTGCCCAACCCAGCAGGTGTCATAACAACAGCTGGGTCTGGTTGACTGAAACATGCCCTTGGTGCACAAGACATCTCACAATAAACAGTGGGACTGCCTGGGAACTCTTGTTTGCCCTTTCACTCTGTAGTGGGTGCTAGACTCTTCAGGCAAAGGCAATAAGGAACTAAGGCTTGCTCAGGGATGTCTGACTGGAAGGTTGGAGTTCTCTGAGGAACAGAAATAGGTACATGAGCACCTGGTGGAGTTTGGCCACCTCCCATGTGATCCTCTTTGCTGGGCAAGTAATAGGACAGACAGCCACAATCAAGCAGAGGCTCTTTGCTGGGCAAAGAAAGGAAAGAGGAAAGACCAGTCAGGCAAGGAGAGAAGAAAAGAAGAAAAAGACTTGAGGAAAATCTCTCTACTTAGCAAGAATAGAAAAGAAAAAGAGACTTTGGACAGCTACAAGTGGGGAAGATTTTCTAGATTATATTATCCTACTTATGACCTTGAAAAAAATAGTCAAAATAATAGAATTCTGGTTAATGAAAATTGCTACAGCTTCAGGGGCAAAAGTGATATGGCCTCTTTGCAGCTTTCACAGATAGATCTGTTTGTAAAACTAATGCATTTGCTACATCTAAGTTTAATGGACCACCATGATAGCAAGATGGTGTAATGAAAGATTTAGGCATTAGATGAGAATTGTGGAAACTCAGGTTCTAATTCACTCTCAGACCAGAAAACATACTTTGGGCCAGTTATTCTTAGCACAAATCACAATACTAATTGGCAGATTGGGGAAAAAATAGAAGACAGAATTGCAACTGAACAACTCTTCAGCTTGGGGAATAATGGGGTACATCTTTTAAATTTCCTACAGAATTTTATATCAATCTATTAAAAAGCTTTAGTGTTATAGCCCTCAAACTAAAGTACTAATCAAGCTAATGCAATACTTCTGAAGCTTTGAGTTTGAGACACCGGATCTAGATAAAGTCCCGAGGGAGTTTAAATTTTCTGTAACCTCTTCCGGCAAACCTCAATACAGCCCTTTGCATTGGAGAATTAAATCATTGTTAAAAACACTTTAATATCATGTATTTTGTTATCTACAAGACTCATTGAAAACTTGCAAAGTGACTACTAGTAGCTCAATGTTGGAAAATGGAACGTTTGCCCACTATAGAAGAATGGTCACTTAAAGTTTCGAATTTAGCAGAAATGGCCAAGATTCTGCCTATGTGAAGGATCATTCACAAGAAAGATATATTTTGGTTTGGAGAAGATGGATAGATTATATTGAGAGGAAATATGGTACTAAAAAATTTCATCTGGTTTTTGAGTAAATTTTAGAGTATTAATGTAGTTTTTATGTTATAATAAGTTATTTATTTTTATTTATAATTATTAATATGTTGTTATAATTATTGTGTTTAATATTAGTATATTTGTTTAAAAGAGAGTTAAAGGATGTTACAGATTTGTTAATCTAATAGTTGATTAATGTTAGATAGAGTATGGTTATTGTATTGTTAACCCTGTGATTGGCTCTGGGAAGTGGGGGGGAGGGAGGGGGGAGGGGNTTTGCATACAATAGCAAGACTGATGTAACAATATTCATGGCCTAGAAAATATTTAAGACACACAGTTATCTAATTTGACACATTTTTCGTAACAGATTCTGTCAAGCAGTAGACGGATAATGAGCAAGTTGCTATGACTTTTGCTAAGATTTCAAAAATATTTCCCATGAGATTTAAAACCAAAGAGCCCCCAACATTCATTCTCACAGGAAAATCACTGGAGGGATTAACTATAGTTTTAAAAGGCTAGAGGGGGATGATAAAACATGAATAGGAAAAATATTTTATTGATTGTACTGATATTACCGAGTGCTGCAAGCAAACAATCAAGCTCAGAGAGCACCATGGACTCCACAGATTTTATTTTCTTAGTGCCAGTTGTAAAGAACTCAATTATTCCAATGTTACTTTCTCTAACACGACAATTTTCAAGTATTGAGGGCCATTCATCAAAACAGGCAGTGGAGAAATGGGATGATAGTATCAGCAGGCTCAAGGGAACCAGACTAAAAATAAAATAATAATAATAATAAAAAGTAATAAAATAAAAATATAAAATAGATGATAGCTCCCAGAAACTGCCTCACGGAGACAAAGCATATTCAGTAGTAACAGAATGTTAGGTATCGGTCAGAAAAGAAAATCAGAAAGGAGAGCAGATAATAAACATCACAAGACCCTTCTAGGAAAACACAGCTGACTGGAATCCGGAACAAGAGCTTCCTCCACTGGACAGGAAGATGCAAGTGATGTGCAGTGTTGGGATCCAAAGCAGGAAAAAGCACTTTCAATTCAGTGTGAGCACCTCTTCCTATCTGCCAACTGCTCTTTAAAAAAGCTGAACATTTTGAGGGGCTCACACAATGTCCACATAGGTCCAAGAAAATATATGTTAGACTTAAGATGGCCTTAACATTTTAAAATGCTTTATGACAGAAATATTTCAGATCTGCTTTTATGAACAAGGTGACCCACTGGTTGCTCCCCACAATCTTCCTATACATGTAATTTCTGTTTTAAAAAGTCTATTACCTGGATCACAAGATTACCAAGACTTCTTATTACATAACTGATAGATACTATCTAATAGTTCAGGGGACTGAAACATGCAGCCCTCTAAGTCATTTTCTGTAGCCTAAAATCATAGTTTGTGAGAGCTAAAAACCTGCCCAACATGACCAGGGACACCAGATTAAGCCATAGAAAATTATCCAAGAAGTCGAATAGCCTGACTGTGGCAGCTTACCAGTTCACCATTGCTCAACCCAGCAGGTGTCATAACAACAGCTGGGTCTGGTTGACTGAAACATGCCCTTGGTGCACAAGACATCTCACAATAAACAGTGGGACTGCCTGGGAACTCTTGTTTGCCCTTTCACTCTGTAGTGGGTGCTAGACTCTTCAGGCAAAGTCAATAAGGAACTAAGGCTTGCTCAGGGATGTCTGACTGAAAGGTTGGAGTTCTCTGAGGAACAGAAATAGGTACATGAGCACCTGGTGGAGTTTGGCCACCTCCCATGTGATCCTCTTTGCTGGACAAGTAATAGGATAGACAGCCACAATCAAGCAGAGGCTCTTTGCTAGGCAAAGAAAGGAAAGAGGAAAGACCAGTCAGGAAGGAGAGAAGAAAAGAAGAAAAAGACTTGAGGAAAATCTCTCTACTTAGCAAGAATAGAAAAGAAAAAGAGACTTTGGACAGCTACAAGTGGGGAAGATTTTCATGACCCTGAAAAAAAATAGTCAAAATAATAGTATTCTGGTTAATGAAAAATGCTACAGTTTCAGGGGCCAAAGTGATATGGCCTCTTTGCAGCTTTCACAGATAGATCTGTTTGTAAAACTAATGCATTTGCTACATCTAAGTTTAATGGACCACCGTGATAGCAAGATGGTGTAATGAAAGATTTAGGCATTAGATGAGAATTGTGGAAACTCAGGTTCTAATTCACTCTCAGACCAGAAAACGTACTTTGGGCCAGTTATTCTTAGCACAAATCACAATACTAATTGGCAGATTGGGGAAAAAATAGAAGACAGAATTGCAACTGAACAACTCTTCAGCTTGGGGAATAATGGGGTATTGATCAAAGAAAACTACATCTTTTAAATTTCCTACAGAATTTTATATCAATCTATTAAAAAGCTTTAGTGTTATAGCCCTCAAACTAAAGTACTAATCAAGCTAATGCAAAACTTCTGAAGCTTTGAGTTTGAGACACCGGATCTAGATAAAGTCCCGAGGGAGTCTAAGTTTAAATTTTCTGTAACGTCTTCCAGAAAACCTCAATACAGCCCTTTTCATTGGAGAATTAAATCATTGTTAAAAACACTTTAATATCACATATTTTGTTATCTACAGCAGTGTTTCTCAACCTTGACAATTTTAAGGCATGTGGACTTCAACTCCCAGAATCCCACAGCCAGCATTGCTGGCTGTGGAATTCTGAGAGTTGAAGTCCACATGTCTTAAAATTGTCAAGGTTGAGAAACACTGATCTACAGGATTCCTTGAAAACTTGCAAAGTAACATACTACAAGATAGATGTGTTATGCAGAGAAACAATGAAGCAATATGCAAAAGCTGAATGCACTTTTTTTCCTTTCGTTAGTTTTCTCTAAGATCCATAGCACAGTCTGTTTTGAATACAAAGTATTTTGGATGCTACGTACTGTATACCTATACAAAGATTTGTTGCCTTACTGAAGCCCATCCTCCTGAACTGAAGTCTATTATCAGTGGTACATTTCTTAGCAAAGCTGCAGATGTATGGATTATGAATTTGTACCTAAATTAGCTAGCGTGCATCAGTGTCATATAGAAAACTCAGGAATTCTGGGAGTTCAAATCCACCCATCTTAAAGTTGCCAAGGTTGAGAAACACTGAACGAAACAATAAAAGCATTAGGATGAGTGAAAGAATCTATTGTATGATACCTGGCAGTATCCTATATTTGGATTTCTAAATGCATATGCAGTTAGGACTCGCCGCAGAGCAGCAATACCCATCTCATTCTGGAATGCCGGATGCTCTGGTAGAGAGCGATGCAAATCCCGTTCAATCTCTTCTGTCGCAAGATTATATTTCCCCATAGATTTCTCCACCAAGTCTTCATAATAGCCAGCATGGGTAACCATTTCATTTATTGCTCCTAGAAATGCAAATAAGTACATATATAGATTATAGATGTAGGCCAAGAATCAAATTAACTGCACAGATCATTCTCATGCTCAAGAGATCGGCTGACTTTTAGGAATATACAATTCATTATTGGACACCCGCCCACATTTTAAAGCTGTAACAGAAACATTATCTTGTTGTGAGGGGATGCTAACTTTTTAAAAAAGTTATATCCAAAATTCTGAGTACACGTCTAAAGTGTTTTTTTGGATCCCAACTCTATAAAAATATGTTTTAATAAAAACCTTACATTTTAATTAACTATTGCCAAATATTTGATTTGCCAGTGAATTGGCTAATCTGTTTCTTTTCCTAAGATAGTTTGTTGGATGACAATATTTATTCTAAATGAGTCAAAATACCACACAAACACACAGCCGCACTAATGTGGGAGTGCATATTGTGCACACACATACGCATATATGAATTCATTTAAAAATGATAGTGGAGCTCTACTTCAACAGCCAATGTAAATACATATTAAGACATGTGCTTTTCTCTTGATAGTCTACTAAGTTTATCCAGAGCCTTAAATTACAGTACTCATTCCATAATTTGGGAAGGGGGGGGATCTTAACATTGTAAAGTAATTATTTATTTAGATTCTGTATCTCTATTTCTGGCAATTCTAAACAAATCTATCACCAAATTAGTTCTGATGAAATCAGAGAAATGTCCTGGTGGATAAAAATGCTTAGCAATGCAACTATAACTTCCCATTTGCTTTCAGCCAACATTTGGATCTCCACTTTGTACATAATAAATTCCCCAGGAGCAAATAAACCAACTGCTGTATATTACCTACTGATACCTACCTGACAAGAGTAACCATAGTTCCCCTCTCATGTTTTCAGGAATACCTTTTAATGCAAGGTCTCTTGTTTTCTCTGTACGATACATACAGATACCTTGGCCATATTCAGCAAAATGCATTTTCCAAGCTTCTTCTTTCAAAAATTCTTTTGCCTTAAAAGTAATAGATACGACAGCATAAAATACACAGGGAAACCCTGTTGTGTAATAGAATCCATTAATCTTGTGGCCAATTATGATGAAATAACTGAATGGTATGTCTCACTAGTCTTACAATGAATCTTTTGTCATGTGTTAATTTCAAAAGCATATTTATTTGATGTTCAAACAAAACATTTTTGATGCCACATAATTAATTAGCTTTATGGAAATTGAGGATACAGATGATGAAAATAATCTCTGGAACAATTACGGTACTTGTGACAATCTTTTTCAACCAAAAATGCTTTCACTATCACTGTACGATGTCATTCTTGCCATAATAAATGTACATAAATAAATCAGAGAACAATGAAATAGTTTTTATCAATGATATAATGTATCTTATTTTTTCACTTGTAATATGTTCTGTCTTAATTCTTCAAAGTATTAAACCGGCAGATAGTATATTATAAAGTTTAAATTAATTAAGATGTTAAATATTTTTCAAAACTGACTTCATCCACCATTCTAATCAAGAAACTGGTGCGGATACAATTTACATTCACATATTTTAAAAAGAACAAAGCCAACATTTTTGCTATACAACTAAGAGCAAAAAAATATTAATTCAACCTACTAATTTAGGGTTGAATTCCTCGGGAGAACGCCGACGATACATAGTCATTAGTGCCTGTGTTATAGTTGGGACACTATTTCCATTCAGGTTGAATTGCTGGTCTCCATCCACCTCAGAGTTTAGGTTTCTCTGAGGGCTGGATGAAAGGATACTACTTGCCCTTGAATAAACCTGAAGGGAATCACACAGCATCACTTTTAACCTCTGCTTAGTACAGGATTCCAAATTAAAGCATCCCTGATGAACAGCTAATATATGTCTGAATGCAGGAACACAATTTAAATCTGCATTCCTGTAACTTATATCCATGGTTCCATGTCTTGCATTCTGGCACGACAGAGAATAGATCTTGAGCTTTTCTCCATGAAAGCCTTTCAGATATCCTTTATTGCTCTTCTCTTCTCAAGGATAAACACTACCGCTTCTTCAGTCTCTTCATGTAATTAGAAACTGGGGAGGGGGGCTGCTTATGGGGAACCCACGTACTTCATAGAGAGCTCAGGAATGGACAGAATGAAAAAATGACAACCAATGTCAAAACAGTGCTAAGATACTAGTGCCCACATTTTAAAAGCTTTAAGATAGGAAACAGTTTAGCTCATACTTTTGCTGTATCACACTGCCCATCCCTCCTTCCTCCCATTTTTAGTGCTGAGCCTGAGTAATTCAAGTAATTGAAGATGAAAGGCACTGGGGCAGAAAAAGTGCACATTGCCAAATGTGTTTGAAGCCCAAGAGAAGGAAGACTGCCCCCCCTCTCACCCTTTGTATCAACTGCCTCCACCCTTTAATCCAAATTAGAGATCTGCACAGTAATTGCTTATAAATATGGATCCATATAAGATCACTGAGAATCAGATAAACTACAGAGGATTTCTGGCATTAAAACAAAGCTTGAAGAAACACACATTCTCCCTTTAAGCAAAATATTTAAACCTCTCATAAAATATTTTTTGAACATTTTCTAATATACAGTATATCTATACCATAATAACTCTACTGTAAGTTGTTCTTAAAAATTATATATCCAGAAACATTCTCCAAATAACAAACTATAAGAGCAATGAAGTTATGTTAATCTTGTAAAATCTTTTGCAAGCAGAACAGCTTTTTTTTCTCCTTTCTGAGTGCCATCATATTTATGAAACATACTGTAACTGATATAGAGCAGAGGCCCTCAACCTTTTGGGCACCAGGGACCGGTTCCGTGGAGAGAGGTTTTTCCACGGACTGGAGGGGGCGTGGTTTCATGTGCTGCCTGCATCTCATGATCTCGTTTGTTTGCGCGGCCTGGTTTCTGGCATGTCGCAGACTGGTGCCAGTCCACCAATAGGGGGCTAGGGACCCCTGATATAGAGGACTGGCCCAACAAATTCTCACAAACGTATTGTTTCTTAGCTTGCCAGGGAAAGTAATGCCATACTTTCTTGTAATTGTTTTTTCTTTGGCATCCTGTAGTATTTAAATGACTTATAAATGATCCTGAAAACAATTGGGGTAGGAAAATTATGGGAGCAACCAAATTGATCTGAAAAACTGTCAAGAAGACAAAGAAGCTAGAAGAATGCTAAAAAAACCCATTATTTTTTCATCTTAGTTTCCGACAACTTATGTTAATGATAAACAAATAAATGACCCCTGCTCTACTACATTGGATTGAATATGCAGACTGGTTGAAAATTCTCCAACCAAAATCAAATATTATGATTTAGTATTTATAGTTATGTGTCTTCGCAAACCCAACCTAACTTATAAAAAATGGTAAATCATGGTTTGTAGGGCAAGTACACAGAGCTAATTAGATGTAGTGGTTAAAGACACCAGGCTAGAAACTCATGGAGACCATGAGTTCCATTCCTGCCTTTGTCACAAAACATCCAGTTGACTGACTATCTGCCACTCTCTCTCTTTCGACCCTACCGATAGGAAGAAGGCACTGACAAAACACCTCCAAAAAAATGTTTCCAAGAAAACAACAGGGACTTGCAGTCACTAGAAACAGAAAGGAAAACAGGCAATCTCCAGAAAACAAGATCAGCCCCAAGGCCTAGAACAAAACAAAACAAATGGAAAAGTGCAAATCAAGATTTAGTGTAATTATCTTACCTGGGGTAATAATTACATAATCAAATTAAACTCAAAGTGACCTTTATCTACTCACCTCATCATCTGAACTGTTGTAACTTCCAGAAATCTCTCTTTCAGAATAAATTTTGGAAGTAGTTTTCTGGAGGAAATCAGAAATCCTCTGCACTAGGAAGTCTCTGTCTTTCAAGTTGGCAAAGAGGAACGTCATTCGGTTTTTAGTGCTGATAGATAATGGACTAGGTAAGACACTTGAGCTATCTGCCTTTTCAACAATTGTCACCTAATAGGACACACGGAAATAGAAGGACCAAAATAAAGAAAGTCTAAATGAAAGGACACACTGGAAGAGGCAGTTCTCCCTCAATTGAATCTTTAATTTGGTCACACATCAACATAATTGCAGTTTTTAAATACTGAAAAAACTATCAAGTTCTTATGAGTGATCCAGGATTATAGAAGCTATAATTCTAAAAACTCAGATGGCATTATAAATTTTTAGCATACTTGTTTTACTATTGCATAAGGAAAGATTACATAACCCAAATATGTAATATTTCATCGTCTCCCTGTCAGATTTACTAGAGGAAGTTATGACTCTACAGTAATAATTCTCGATATGATTTTTTTCATAGTTTATAATGTTCTTTGTTTAGGTGTCAGACGGTATGCTAGTCATGGCCTTTTCTATTCTACTCTTTCTATTTTATATTCTTTAGTTTTTAGATGTACTTTAAATGTATAAATAATAGTTAATTCTTGATAAATGTGAATTATTGATAAAACAGTATGTCTAAAATATAGAGATCTTCTGTTATAAAATCTGTAAATGATTCCATAAACATGAATTCAGTATTCAAATTCTTCTTGAAAAAGAGACATAGCTATTTCAAGAAATATGACACATTTGTTGGTCCAAGTTAGACCTTGCCAATGGTAAATTGTAATTTCTTGATCACAGAGAAAATTTGTGACAATTGGGTGATGCCACGGGTGGTGCAATAAGTGGAGTAACAATGCATGGATTACTGACTGAACAGTGAGCAGCCGTGTGTATAAGTAGTCCTCAACCTATAACCATAATGGACCCTGCCCATTATGGTTACAAGTGGTGACAACCGTTAAGTGAAGCAGCCTTGCTTAATGACACACACACACTCAGGTCTCTGATGGCACCATTAAACAAACATGTGAGACATTAATTGAGCATGGGGTACCTCATGGATGAGATAGGCCCTGAGAGGTCCACCATAAGAGAGGCAGACAAGCAACAAAAAGCTTTGCAAAGCCAAAAACAGACCAACAGGGGAGAAGAATCCAGCTAGATTAGGGCCTAGCACCACACTCCAGTGCCAGAGAGGCTTCCAAACAAGCCTTCAGGCATCGCTGATGAAGCCATGCTTGTGGGCTGGGCCTCTGCCCTGATCAGATATCTTGAATGTTCATAGTAATCCTAATATAATAAAACCAGCATGTTTATACTGACCTCCCAAAGTGGGATGATGAGACTGCATAGATTTTCTTCTTTGCTAGTGAAACAAATGTAATTTGTAGACACAAACATCTGACCTAAAATGTGCATTTTATTAAATGGGGTCCACAGAGTACAATCGGTATGTCCATCTAGTTTTTCATCCTTTGGAAGCCGAAACAAAGCGCGGTACCTTTCACTTTTTGCCCTGGCATCAAGATCCCTGAAAAACAGTATTTCAGATTTCAATGGCAAATATTCCAATTACACGCACACATCTCATGTAGTTCTTGCTTTTGCATTAAAAATAAGCAACAAAGTATATTCTTTATAGAACTATTTTTATAGCAGTCTTTACATATAAATGGCAAGATTTATATTAACAGGGCTTAAAACAAATTTATAAAATTGCTTTAACATGTTTATGAGACTTTTTGTAGTAGTGTTAGTGGCGATAGTAGTATACTTTTTTTTACACCTTACTGCACGGGTGTCAAACTTGCTGCGTCATGTGACGTGTTGCAACGTATCGTGACTTTTTCCGCATTGCTGGAGCTGGGGTGGGCGCAGCCTCCGTATGATGCAACCGGCCCGCGGGCCGGCAGTTTGACACCCTTGCCTTACTGTGTCTTAAAATCTGTGAATTAAAAACAGTCCTATAAAAAAGCTAGAAAGTGCAACCAGAAACAAGAAGGAACTGAGATCATGATGTAGACAGTAGAATGGTATCTGCTTTGTTATATTACTTGATGTAATATTTCTACAGTGCATGGAGTTTTATGGAGTAGTTTAAAGGAATAAGCCTACAGGTGAAAAGTATAATGAGCTGCAATCAAAATGCCTTATCTTTTAAATTTCATAGTAAGGAAGATCAAACAGAGTAAGCAAAGGACACTAGAGTAATAAGAATATAATGGCACAAAAGGCTATTTCAACAGCAGTACCAAATGAAAGATGGAAATTCATATTTTTGCCTGCAAGCACCAGGAGCTAATGCTCAAGCAGAAAGACTCTCAGCCAGAAGTTGTCATTTTTTGGCATAAATTATGTTATTTTTGACTCCTTGTGGCCATAGATAAATAGATATAGATAAAGGTAGTTGCAGTTACAAGCTGCTGAACAAGGGGTACTTATTATGGATACTCATAGTTGCAGACATTGCAGTCTCCTCACAATCATGTGATTGCCATTTGTGATCACATATGGGTTGAGAAAGAAGGAAGTTTTTAATCAGGGGTCAGCAACCTGTTGCTTGTGGGCCAGATATGGCCTGCCACTCAAAATCATCTGGTTGTGATCCCAAAAAATTATTTACTGAACCAAGAGAGAGAAAACACATTCTACTACCTCAAGGACCCATTTTAATGATGGCTTCACCAGCCACCTTGCTGTGTACAGAGCCATGAGTCCCCCAGAAATGGTGGCGGCAGCACCATCTCCTCTGACCAGAAGGTTGCTGACTCTTGCTATAGATGACCATGGAATACTTAAGAAAAAAAAACTTGGAAAAGGAGCAGAAGGGTGCAGCTAAAATAGATGAAATGGACAGAGAAGCTTTAGTGGCTGCTAAAAGAAGACTGTTGGTTTCAAACCAGACAAAAGGTAGCTAGTATTAATATAACAGATTGGGAAAAATTTACATTGCTTAAGACTCATTAGTTTGTGAATGGACTAAAGTCCACGAAGCATTCAAGGGCATAATCTGGGAGGGAGAGAGCTGAAGTGGTAAAGGACCGACATGGATTTAATCTTCTAACTGCAGAGGATCCATGGTGGGGTTGAAGACATTAAAAAAAAAGATCAAAGGTTTTTCTGAATCAAAGAATCATCAGCCAGATCAAGATCAGCTGTCATTTCATCTGACTGAATGCAAAAGCAAAAAAAAAAAAGACAAATAATAATCCCTTTCTTAATTCTAAAATATGGAAGAGTAGATGGATAGGTAGCATAACTCACACAGCGACCACTTGTTCAGTGACTGTTCTATGTTTATGATAGTGCTGAATGAGGGGACTTAGGATTGTTCCTTGTAGTTGTGACTATCGCAGTGTCTCTACAGTCACATGATTCTGATTCAGATGCTTGGCAAGTGGCTTGCAATTACGATGGCTTGCAGCATTCTACAGTTATATACAGATAGTCCTCGACTTACAACAGTTCATTTAGTGACTATTCAGTTGCAACGGCACTGAAAAAAGTGATTTATGACCATTTTTCACACTTATGACCATTGCAGCATCCCCACGGTCATGTGATCAAAATTCAGACTCTTGGCAACTGACTCATATTTATGACGGTTGCAGTATCCCAGGGTCATGTTATCACCTTTTGTGATCTTCTGAAAAGCAAAGTCAATGGGGAAGCCAGATTCACTTAATGACAGTGTCACTTACTTAACAACTGCAATGACTCACTTAATAACTGTGACAAGAAAGGTCGTAAAATGGGAGAAAATTCACTTAAGCATCTCACTAAATAACAGAAATTTTGGGCTCAATTGTGCTCGTAAGTCGAGGATTACCCATATTCACCATTTGCAACCATCACTGCCAGCTTCCAACAAGTCAATGGGGAAGCCAGAAGAAGGTTGCAAATGGCAATCACATGACCACCGAACACTGCAATGCAAGAGATTCCTGTAATGATGACAACTGGAAATGCTGCAACTGTTGCTGTAAATCAGCACAGTTATGTGACATCATGCTTTATGACTGCCTCAGCAATGGAGTTGCCCCTTTCAATTACCAATGTTAAGCAACAACTATGTTGTGTTAAACATGTAATTGTATGCTTATACCCACTTAAAGTTGGTTAGAACAGAAAGTTACGAGCTGAGAGAAAAGTGATCTCATACTTTTGAAACATAGTATGATCTGAAGGAGGCACTGCTCAGAATGGAATAGTAGGCAATGTGATGGCTGTAAATCATTCTTGTGAACCTTGAGGCTGAAAAAAATGAAAACTGCTTTTGCTGTGTTTTATTGGCAGTTTGAATAAAAAGGGGGGAAATGGAATGCTGTTGTACGCTGGTTCTTTCAATCAAATCCTTCAATTTCATAGATGTTCCCCCATGAAACACTCCCTCCAACCACACACGCACACGTAAAATAAGAGAAACCCATGTAAAAAAATCTATCAGGGCTGAAGCATAATGCTAAGTCAGCATGTAACTTGCTTAGTTTGGGCTGCAAAATAGCAACTGATTCCAAATCCTACCGTTTTAGGGCAGATACTTTTTTAGGAGACTTCTTTTTAAGTCTGGGGAGTGATTTGTCTTGCTCAAAGCCTTCATTGTCCAAAAGTTGCCTCATAGCTATGTTAGCAAGTTGCTCCATTAGTTTAAATGTTTCACTGATGTTGAGAAATACAGAAAAGAAATGCTGACTGGATCTTGTGCTAACTTTGATCACATCAGGTAACAGCAGAGTTGCATTCTTCTCAAGCTGGGTGATATCTACCCATCGGATGACAAGTTTAGCTATTAAAGAAAAATATAGCTTCAGAAGAAACAACAACATTCAATAGTTTCAAATTCAAAACTCAGATGATAAAATCTAAAAGTTTTATAATAATTATAAACCACACATTTATAAAACTAAATACTGATTTATGGTACAGTCCTTTGAAAGTTTGTTCAAATGTTAGTCTCAGTGCCTTCAACTGGTTGAGTCTCTAGTACTAGGCAGTTATCAGCTGAAAGGATTTGGCTGCTATTTGTAAGATCTTCTGATATATTTATATATTTACTATACTATCTGACTGGCAAGTGTAGACAGATTGTTTTACAGATAAAAACCTATCCCTACACACATCTGAAAGAGAATTAAACCATTTTCTAACTGTACACTAAAGCTTAACAAAAAAGCAAGCAAGATACAAACATTAAATTACTTAAGTACTTATTAGTCTGTGTATCATAAATTTTAAGTAAGGATACACCATTCCAAAACTAGCTAAGTCAATCCATGTACTAAAAATACAGGTACTTATCATGGCGACAGAATATCAGTGACCAATACTAGTCAAACAAGTTACAATTATTCATTCCACAATTCAAAGCTATAAACCTCTTAGAAAATGTTAATATGAGTAAAAAAGGGTTCATACATGCATGTCCATGAATTCTCAGCAGTTATTTGGAGCAAAACCTAAAATTCTTTGGAAATAATGTTGTCAGCTAAGGATGAATTAACTCTTTTGCTTCAACATTTTATATATACTGTATGCTGCTTCTTCTATATGACATACTGTATATGGTAATATTAAGATTTGAAGAATATATTCAGTGAAATAGCACTGTGTAGTTTCTTCAATTTATTAGACCACCTTTCCTTTTGCTCATTATTCTAATACTTATTTTCTCACCTCTAATTCCTGCACATGAGAATAAGAAGAACATTAAGTCATACATACTGTACATTTGTAATAAATGAACCTGTTAATAATTCAGTAAGAAGCCATTCATTCCTACCTTCTCGTCCCATGAGAAAAGAATAGAAACACAGATGGTTAATGCTGAGATACATCCAACCCTGACGCGGGACTTTCCCTTTCCAATAACTGCAGGAATAGTAATTCACAAGTTTCTCCTCCTCTGGCATCCCAAACAATTTATGGAACTTCGCTGTTGCTTCCTTAAATTTGGCCGTGTCATCATCTTCCCGAATACCGTTGATTTTGTTGTATTCTGCGATGATACCCTAAAGTAGATCATACAGGACCACTTGGAATTCTCAGAGCAACTATACCCTTTGCGTTTCACTTCTAGTATTTAAATTAGGATCCTTACATTTTACACATATTGATCCATTAATTTAGAAATAAAAGATTTAAGACAAATTTTAAATAATTATAATTTTCCCTTTTAATACACTTTCCAAATATAAGCAACCCATTCATATGGAAAACCACTGCACAATTTCATATTATGTTTCAGGAAACAAATGTTTAATAAACAAACAAATGCCACAGCTTCACGAGATCGCCTATGAAAATACAGTAGCTTGATCTCATAAGATTTAACAAGGTTGCAAGACGCTTGCTACAGTCACTATTAAAAAGATTTTGGAGGTAAGCTAACCCTATCCATGGCATGTGAGTGCCATCCAGCTCAAGAGCCTCACATTATTAATCCTTCACATAATAATCTTTTGGTTGAGAAAGTACAAATCCAGATGTCACTCATAACTTGTTAATCTCTGCTAAACCAGTAGTAGAATAGAATAGAGCTGGAAGGGACCTTGGAGGTCTTCTAGTCCAGCCCCCTGCTCAAGCAGGAGAACCTATACCACCTCAGACAAGTGACTGTCTAGCCTCTTCTTAAAAATCTCCAGTGATTGAGCGCCACGATTTCTGGAGGCAAGCTGTTCCATTGGTTACTTGTCCTCACTGTCAGGAAGTTTCTCCTTAATTCTAGGTTGCTTCTGTTTTTGATCAGTTTCCAACCATTGTTTCTTGTCCTACCCTCTGGTGCTTTGGTGAATAACATGACCCCCTCTTCTTTGTGGCAGCCCCTCAAATACTGGAATACTGCTATCATGTCTCCCCTACTTCTTCTTTTCTTTAGACTAGCCAAACCCAAGGCCTGCAGCCGTTCTTTGTATGTTTTAGTCTCCAGGAGTTTGATCATCTTAGTTACTCTTCTCTGAATTTTTCCCAAACTCTCAACATCTTTTTTGTGGTATGGTGACCAAAATGGGCTGCAGTATTCCAAATGTGGTCTTACTAGGGCAGTGGTTCTCAACCTGTGGGTCGGGACCCCATTTGGGGTCGATCGACCATTTCACGGGGGTCGCCAAGCAAGGCTGTCCGCCATTTTTTTTGTCCGCCATTTTTTTTCCCTTTTCCGGCGGGTGCCTTACCTCCCTTGGGCTGGGCCAGCTGGTGGTCGGCCTGCTCCGTCTCTGCTGCTTGCCAGCTACGCCTCGGCCGGCGCAGGGGGCGGAACCACGCATGCGCGGTGCTCCCGGGCAGGGAAAGTCCTCAACTTACGACCGGTTGGGTAGTCCTCGACTTACGACCAGTTTAGTCCTCGACTTACGACCGGTTTAGTCCTCGACTTATGACCGGTTGGGGTCGCGGCATTAAAAAGGTTGAGAACTACTGTACTAGGGTTTTATAAAGTGGTACTAATACCTCACGTGATCTTGATTCTATGCCTCTGTTTATACAACCCAGGATTGTATTGGCTTTTTTTGACTGGATTCATTCTCCTACATAACAGCTGCCAAATTGCATGGCAAATCTGCTTTTGAAAAACGATAGTCAAATTATGTAAGGTATGTGTGGATGTGTGGATGAGCAAAAGAGACAGTATTACTCCACCAACATTTTAGAAATTGTGTTGCAACTGGCAGGATTGTCATGTGTTTAAAATACCAGTTTGAACCTCTTCCTATGAATACCATTTAATACTGGCATTGCTGATTACTCCGGTTGTGCAAACAATATTACACTGTTATTGGAATCATCTTTTTAAAAATGCACACGGACAAGAAGATCAGATATAAAATACAATTATATACTAGCTTTTCCTAGTCACATATATATTGAACAGATCAAAAAATACAATACCTGTATTTTTCCTCTGACAAAAGTGTTTATATCATTCTCATTTTCAAAGATAGAAAGAGTTTGTAGTAAATTCTGTTCAAGCCATTCCCAATGCTCAGTTATTTCTTTTCTTGAGCAACCTAAGATAGGAACAGAAGGTATTTGTAAAATTATTCCATTGTGAAGAACACATGCACAAAAAGATTTAGTACAAGTATTATTAGTGATTATCTAGCAGTTGTGAAGGATGCCTTCTGATATAGCTCTTGCCTAGAAAGGTCATCTTTCTTCTCATTTCACTAAGGGTTCACTTCTCATTTTAAACAAGCCAGATTTTGATACTAAAAAAACCAAGGATCCATGCCTTGGTTGATAATTTCATAGCAATTCAGAATGCAAACTTTGTTTTGCTAATTACAATTTTAACCAAGCCACATATTTTTAAAGTGTGGTCATCTTGAAGAACTGAGAATTACTTGATACTGGAAATTAAAGCTTGGGATGTTTTTGCTGTGGGCTGATCTTTTTATACTATTAGCTTGCAGGTGCTTCTCTGATTTGTAGAATACAGGACTTGTTTGTTACAGTTCTTTGGCAGCATCGTTTCTCCACCTTGTCCCAAACACAGTTCATGTTCTTTCAAACTCAGTCATGAAAAATAACTGGCAAACACTTAACGTAATATTTTCATAATATAAACAGAAAGAAGTGAATAAGAGAGTATCTTATAGTCCCCTATTCTTTTTCTGACCTAGTGGGATAGGAAAAGGAGTCAGACATGGGGATTTAGAAAGGTCTAGTTTTATCCCTTACAAATTATTAAGTAATATTCTTACCAAACTTTATGTAATATCAAAAACATATTATTCTCATTAGGATTTAAAAGTTTGTTTTAACTTTCTCGGAGGTATTCTTTAGATCAGTGGTTCTCAACCTGTGGGTCGGGACCCCATTTGGGGTCGATCGACCATTTCATGGGGGTCGCCAAGCAAGGCTGTCCGCCATTTTTTTTGTCCGCCATTTTTTTCCCCTTTTCCGGCGGGTGCCTTACCTCCCTTGGGCTGGGCCAGCTGGTGGTCGGCCTGCTCCTTCTCTGCCGCTTGCCAGATACGCCTCGGCCGGCGCAGGGGACGGAACCACGCATGCGCGGCACTCCCGGGCAGGGAAAGTCCTTGACTTACGACCGGTTGGGTAGTCCTCGACTTACGACTGGTTTAGTCCTCGACTTACGACCAGTTTAGTCCTCGACTTACGACCGGTTGGGGTCGCGGCATTAAAAAGGTTGAGAACCACTGCTTTAGATAGACTGTGTACACAAACTGACTGGTTGAAGGCAGGGCAACAGTATGATAGATTTCAAGGCAGCCTGTAGATAAGAGATCTTAGTTTGTCCAGAACAACATGAGCATATCAGCAACACAACTGGGCTTTAACTGGATTTGTGATATACAAGCCAACAGGAAACAACACTGCCTGATATCCTCCTTAACTGTTGCAAGGAATGCAATATGTGACATGGCTCAGGCAGGCACCTCCATAATTCACTGAACAAGGAGGAAGAGCAACATCAAAAACAGACTTGCAAGATTCTATTATTACTGGCAATCTTAATAAAATCAGTTTTAGCTTTTTATCATCAGCTTCTATCAACCATAGTGTTGACTAAGGCATATGAAAATTGTGACTTGGAATATAAATGATAAAGAGTATGAATTTACAGACTTCCGGTTTGCCATTGTGGCTGCCGCAGCCGCTGGAAGGCAAGCTCCGTCTTCCGCGTTCGATTTCGCACCACTGGGGGACCCTGGAAAGGGTCGAGAGCCACCCCTACCGGGACCCCCGCTTGATCGCAGGACAGCGGTAGCCCTTACGATCGATCCGGGGCAGCCCTCCAAACCAGCGGACGAAAGACCAGCCATAGAAATATGGCTCGTCACTAGGCTGCAGACAGCCAAAGTCAAACTTACCACCAGGCACTTCTAAAGCAGCGCGGATGAGACTGGGTGAGATCTGAACCTCTTTTCAATCCTAAGTATTTTTTTTCTCCTGTAAAAACTGCCCAAAGTATCTTCCCCCCTGTGAGGAGAGAGGGATTTATATGCTTCTAAAATTTGGAGACCAAAAGATTTCTTATCTTTACTGAAGACTTTGGTTTTTATTTACAAAAAAGAAATAAAATTGGAAAAAGGATTATAAAAATTTTGGACTTAAAAAACCTTAAATGGCATTGGTGACATCTTGTGGCCATGTTTGATATTACAATTTGTTATTATCTAAAGCAGGGCTTTTCAACCTTTTCACCCATTGTACCATTTTAGGATAAGGCAATATCCGAGTACCACCAGTCACCCAGCAAGGTGTCAAAAACTTGACCAAAAAAAAGGAAAAAATGATAAAGTACAGGCAGTCCTCGACTTACAACAATTCGCTTAGTGACTGTTTGAAGTTACAATGGCACTGAAAAAAGCAAATTATGACCATTTTTCACACTTAATGCTGTTGCAGCATCCTCAGGGTCATGTGATTTACATTTGGATGCTTGGCAACTGATTCATACTTATGACGGTCACAGTGTCCCAGGGTCATGTGATCACCTTTTGCAACTTTTTGACAAGTGAAGTCAATGGCCAGGGGGGCATGGCCAGCTCATCACTCAGGTTGCAGGGTGCCTATGGGGGGTGCGGGCGGGGATGTGGGGGGGATCTGTGAGTCTCTGGTGGAGGGGGGTGGGACAGGCATGGGCACCTTCCTTTCCTCCCTCTCTTCCTCCCATTGTTCCTTCCTTCCTTCTTTACTTCCTTTCTTCCTTCTCTCCCTCTTTGTCCCTTCCTCCTTCCCTCCCTCCCTTCCATTGTCCCTCCCTCCCTTTCCTTCCTCCTCTCTTTGTCCCTTCCTTCCCTCCCTCCCTCTTATTGTCCAGCGCTCCTCTCCCTTTCTCTTTCTTTCTCTTTCTCTCCCTCCCTGTCTCTCTTTCTCTCCCTCTTTCTCTCCCCCTCTCTCTCTTTTTTCTCTCTCTTTTCCTCTCCCTCTTTCCTCTCCCTCTCTCTCCCTCCCTCTCTTTCTCTTTCTCTTTCTCTTCCTCTCTCTCTTTCCTCTCCCCCCCTCTCCCTCTCTCCGATCTTCTGCTCACCTGATCAGCTGGCCTCACAGTGTTCTCCAACAAGCTGACACACATTCTTATTGGGCTAGCTCTCTCTTACCCTTGGTCTGCCACTAAGTAAGTAAAAAGTGTGTGTGTGTCTGTGTGTGACAGAGAGAGAGTGAGAGAGAGAGAGAGAGAGAGAGAGAGAGAGAGAGAGAGAGAGAGAGAGAGAAGGGAAGTGCAAGTGCCTCTCTCTGTCTCTGTTTCTCTCTCTGCAAATGGCGGAGGAGGACTGGAAGCCGCAGTAGAAGGCTGAAAGAGGCACATGCGGCTCCAGAGCCGCGGGTTGCCGACCCGTGGTATAGGGTCTCCTGCTTGAGCAGGGGGTTGGACTAGAAGACCACCAAGGTCCCTTCCAACTCTGTTATTCTATTCTTATTTCATGGCTTCCATTTTTTGGCTTACTATTGTTTACTCCTTTTCTCTATTCTTCCTAATGATGCTTACCCAGAAAGAGAATAGTGTGATGAGTTTGTCTTTTCATGGTTGAATTGTGCTCACAATCAATAACAGTATTTTCAAATGAATTTGAATGCTACAATACATATTCTATAAATCATTGAAACTCCTGTTAGAAATCCGTCAGAAAGGCACTGGTGAGTTCAATATGGAAATAAGCTGTTTCCTAACCTCCTACAGAGCTTACAGAATGATATTGTTTCTGAAGAACTGCAAGCAATAGCTTATATCTGATCCGGGTCTGCTGATGAGGAGTGACATCATTCTGTCTCCCTTCCAGGGAGGCCTTGCATTTCTTGGAACGTGCATCACTCTGAAAAGCCTGCATAATTGAACCTCTTATCTGCTAAGTGCACTGGACTATGCTTGAAATTAATGTATGAAAATATATTGTTAAATGCTGGAGGTTGTTCTGAAATCTGAGTTAGTCTTTCTCTAATTTCTATATACTTGCACACTCAAAGATTCAAAATAATTCTACCTTCAGACCTGCAATTTTTTAGTGAGAAAGACCTATAGTTTAGTAAGTCATAAATTCCTTGTCACAACATAAATTATCTGAGGAATATATATAAAAATTGAAATCTGGGTAAAGGACAGAACCACTGAACGCCCCATCTGCATGCAATACATTTCTCCCAAATTGTACTTAAACATGGAATCTTCTACTTATAACCTATAGCAGTGATGGCGAACCTTTTAGAGACCGAGTGCCCAAAAACCACCCCTGCCCCCGCTCCGCCTCCCGTCCTGCCTGCTCTGCCCCTGCCCACCCCTGCCCCGCCCGCCTGCAGGACCATGCACCGCCTCCATGGCCAACTGCAGCAGATCGCCCAGACAGCCCTGCAGCACCATGGCAGCCACGCCCTCCGCCCACACCCTGCATCATCTGCACGCTATGAGGTACGAGGATGGAGTCTTGTTCCTGCTGCCTGGCTAGGTCCTTGGCTGCACTGCTCCGTGCAGGCCACGCCCGGGGGCGACTCTCCTCCAGGGGACTGCAGGTGAGGAGGGGGCCGTGGGGGGAGGCAGGGCTGGGGCGACGGCGCACATGCCCACAGAGAGGGCCCCGAGTGCTGCTTGTGGCACACATGCCATAAGTTCGCCATCACTGACCTATAGCATATCAACAATACCTAGATAAGTGTGAATAGATTCACAGTAGTAATTAAACATTAAAAAAAGAACTTACCAAATCCTGAGTGGAAGCACTCAAAAATTCTATATCCAGTCTATTGAAATGAATCTGACATTTTAGAATTTCAGCTTCCAATACAGAAAACTAAGATTTACAGACAATGCTTCCCAAACCCTTTTCCCCATCTCCATTCAATGCTCAGTATGCTTCTTTATCATATTCAATGTACAGGTCATCTTTATTCCAGCTCTAGCTTGGCACTTTTCACAGAAGTCTCCCTTCATTTAGCCCCACAATAACACTTATTGAATTTCCACAGATGAAAATACAGCTGAACTCCAGTCTTTGTAATCCTAGTCTAGTACCTCACAACTATGCCCACTATTTGCTGTCCAAGGACAAGGCAAGCCAATCATACAGGACTTCTCATTCAGCAAAATAAGCATAAGAACTCCTGCTGATGTGGTGTACCATATTTTATAAAGAATAAATATATATTTTCATTCAAGGAGTTTCAACTCTATAGAAAAAAAGGCCAGAATCCAGAATTATTAGGGCTCCACAGAGAACCCAGAGAAACCCTTCAACTATAGCAGCACCACAAACAGAAATGTAAGTCAGCATTTAATCTTAGCAACTACTTGCAGAACTTGGTGGAAAACTGATTTAAAAAAAAAAGTAAACAGAAAGTGAAACATAATTTACATTTACTGTGAGAGTTGCCTAACTATTATGGAAACCAAAGCATAACACATCTAGAAGGAACCACATAACAGGATAACATAGTTTGAAGGAACCTTGGAGGTTCAACTTATAGCTCAATCAGGAAAACCTATACCATTTCAGACAAATGGTTGTCCAATCTCTTCTTTAAAATCTCCAGTGTTGGAGCACCCACAACTTGTGGAGGCAAGCCATTCCACTGATTAATTGTTGTCACTGTCAGGAAATTTCTCCTTAGTTCTAAGTTGGTTCTCTCCTTGACTAGTTTCCATCGTTTGCTTCTTGTCCTGCCTTCAGGTGTTTTGGAGAATGAATTGTCTCCCTTTTCTTTGTGGTAGCCCCTTAGATATTGGAGCACTGCTATCATGTCCCCCCTAGTCCTTCTTAAACTAGATATACCCAATTCCTACAACTATTCTTAAATTTTTTAGCCTCCAGTTCCCTAATCATCTTTGTTGCTCTTCTCTGCACTCTTACTAGAGTCTCAACATCTTTTTTAGATCATGGCAACCAAAACTGGTGCAATAGTACCAAGGCATTATAGAGTTGTACTAACACTTCACGTGCTCTTGAGTCTGTCCCTTTGTTAATGCAGCCTAGGGCTGTGCTGGCTTTTTTGGTAGCTGAAGCACACTGCTGGCTCATATTTAAGTGATTGTCCATTAGGACTCCAAGATCCCCCTCACAGTTACTATTATTGAGCCAGATACCACCTATGGTACCTGTGGATTTGGTTTTTCTTGGTAAATGTAGAACCTTACTTTTCTCTCCATGGAATTTCATTTTCTTAGATAGGGCTCAGTGTTCAGTAAGTATCCATTATAAAGGAAAACTGATACATTGTAAAAGTATACCGGTAAGTTATATCAAATACTAGTCTTTGGGTCAAAAAAAGAATACCTTGAAAACAGTTCAGATACTTACCACAAGCAATAGTCCAGTATATCATAGAATCTGGTGCTTGATACAGAATGCGATATGGTGCTACCCTTGCACTTGAATCTAACATAACATCAAGAGTTCCTACAAGAAGTCCTGGGGGAAAAAGAACAATGCAAATATTACCTATTGTATAGTAAAAGTGTGTGCCACATTAAAGCATACTCTAGCTGTGGAATGAATTAAACAGCATATACAAAGGTATATTTAAAATGTGAACACTGGAGCACAGTGATTACATTATTGGCCTTGGATGTTGTAAAATTAAGCCAATAGTTTGAGCAACCTGGAGAACAAAGGACATAATGTAAGCTGGACCTTGTTTTATTGAAAAAGCTGGACAACTTAACAAACAAATCTAACGAAGTCCATATGATAATGGGCACATATGCCATACACTTCTGATGTTTTCAAATGGAAGGCAAGTGAAAATCTTCATCTATTCATCCTGTGAAGCTTCAGATACACAGCGCATTTCTGCCTGAGAATTTCATACTAATTCAGAATCAGTTCTAGATCTGTCTGATTTCTTAACATTGGTTATTTTGCTACTGGCAGAGACTTCAATCTTGCCCTGTCTTTTGGCACCCATTTTACACAATCATTTCAATGCACGGGAGAAATAGTAACTTGACAGCTTAGCGGTACTTTTTATCAGCAAAGAAGATCACAAGTTATCTTCAAGCTGCTTTTCAAAGATTGGATATTAGAATGAGTGAGTTAGAATAAACAGTACTGGGCCAGAGGAATAATTTATGGAATAGCTCTGTATATATTCTACACTATTATACTGAATACACTTAAATTAGAAGGTAAGACATATTTTTTTCTTATATAATTTTATTAACTTTCAAAAACATGAATAAAAAATAAATGAGCAAGACAAAAAGAAAATAGAAAAAAGAATCAGACAAAAAGCAAGATAAAAGTACAAAACAATGAAGGAAAAAAGTTAAGAAAAAAGAACAAATGGCTTCAACTTTCTTTGATACAGATATAAAAAATACAAACAACTCTTATTCTAAAATTAACAATATACATTACTTCTATAGTCCTATATAATTCTAATCATTAAATCCCAAAAACAAAATTACACTTCTCTTACTTTTTTGCAAAAAGTCCCAAAGTTGCTTCATTAACAACTCATCACTGACCCCTATCATTCTCTCCCTTTTTTAGGCTATTCAGACTATGAGCAATACAGGAAGAGCCTTGTCCTACATCACTAGATGAAGCAGTACCAGATAGTCTTTGAGTTAAAACTACCGGTATTCATTTACGGATCAAAGTTACGACAGTCTTGCAAATAGTGATTTATGACCTGTCCTCAAAAACTACATCATTTAGCAACTGAAATCCAGTCCCAAGCCAAGGATTACATGTATAAAGATGTATGAATGTAAATGAGTTAATCATTCAGCCACAGATTTATCAGGTTTACTGCACTTTTAGGAACTATCAGAAAGCAGAAGCTCTAGCCTGAGCAAAGGGTTGACGCTAGTATCTACTCTGATGCCTTTTCTCACTTGGTGCCACTGTTGAGAAATAGTGATTTCAATCGAAGATCATATCTATGGCAAAGCAGAACAACCGTGTCCCCTCAGTGGTTTTCTGAGACCACATTTTTCCTACCAGCCATTTTGGAGGAATAATATAACAACTAATAGTGATGTGGGATCATTAGATGAGAGCTATTTAAAAATCTTTCAAGGAAATGAGTAAATATATTTCTCTTTAAATAATTTTATATAAGCTTGCTTTAAGCTTTTCTGGAAAAGTGAATGCCCTTGATATAAATTTCCTTAGATGATGATAGATGGTAGCATACAACCTAAACTATTCTGAAATACCTAAGCACAGTTGGATTTGGAAAGATGTGGATGAGAATCTACCAGCAATTCCAGGGTTACAGTCTAGCTAGGCTAGACTATGAAATTAGCATCCTGGATGGAAACAATGACAATCCTTTTCCATATTGTTGCTAGAAAACCATGTAAACGGGTCCATGAAGTCATTAACAGTCAAACTCCATTCAACAGTGTCTTTATCTTTTTATCTAATTACAAAAGAATCACACTGGGCATCAACCAAATTGCAAATATAAGATTCGCCAGCAAGCTGACCTTTGCAACAGACATCATCTCACACACACATTTCTTATGCTTAATGAGCAGAAATGGGCTTTGCGTATCTCTCCTCTACTGAAAGTTATTTCTCTTCAAATGGGTAGTCTCAAGTTTGTGATTCTTTATTGCACTTTCCTCCAACCTGATATTTTATCCACATACTTTAAACTATAACTCCCATCATATTCACCATGCTACCTTGAGCTGATGAAAACTCTAGTTTGAAGCCGCTGGACAGACCAGGCGCTATCAATCAGACAAGCCTGGGTTAATGTGACTCCACAAGCCATTCTCTTGAGAAATCAGTGCTGCTGCTGCTAAACCATCATCTCCATACTTCAAGTCAACTAGTCCTGTTGCCCACCAACATTTCTTTCCCAACCAGAAAAAGATACTTGATGGTGCCTGAGGAGGTAAGGGGAGGCCCTTGTGGCATTTAAAACCACTCCTACAGTTGCAGTGTGGAAAAATATCCATGTCAACCTCCACCCTTTATTATTCACTCTCAAGCATTCCAGCCTGGGTAAGGAGAAAGTTGGTGTCTGAGCTAGTTTACCATGCAGACTAGGGGGTGGATTCATGTGAGATATCTATCTTGGGGTCAAGACAAATGATTATATTACATATATTCCTATGATACATGAGTCAAAGGGACAAGGAAGCTGGAATCTGTCTGGTGTCAGCTATTATGTGCCATAAAAATTGCCATTCTGTAGTTTGCCAAATCTAGCAGAACATTTTGCCTGGGCACATACAGAATTGTTAACCAAAGCAATGGTCACTGGCCTGCCCACAAGCTAACAATTATTGATGACATTCACACGCTGCAGTGTAGCCTACTATGTATTTCAACTTTAGAAGAAGCTTCGGTAGACCCACTGGAAATCTATGAGATAAGTATTCACAGCATTCACAGCTTCTGGAGGCAGGTTGTTCCACTGATTAATTGTTCTAACTTTCAGGAAATTTTTCTTAGTTCTAGGTTGCTTCTCTCTTTGGTTAGTTTCCATCCATTGCTTCTTGTCCTGCCTTCAGGTGCTTTGGAGAATAGCTTGACTCCCTCTTCTATGTGGCAGCCCCTGAGATATTGGATCACTGCTATCAGGTCACCCATCGTCCTTCTCTTCTTTAAACTAGACATACCCAATCCTAGCAACCATTCCTCCTATTTTTTAGCCTCCAGTCCCCTAATCATCTTTGTTGCTCTTCTCTGTACTCTTTCTAGAGTCTCAACATCTTTTTTACATCGTGGTGACCAAAATTGGATGCAATATTCCAAGTGTGGCATTACCAAGGCATTGTAAAGTGGTATTAACATTTCCATGATCTTGATTCTATCCCTCTGTTAATGCAGTAAGTCAATAGCTGTTCCAGAAATACAAGCAACGCAATCAATTTATTTAGAATCCTGTTTGTGAGTGAACTCCAAGCATTTAAGTCACTTATACAATATTCTGAAAATATCAGCTTTCAGTGGAAAAAATTATTTTTCAAGCTATATGGCTGCAATCTGATCTCAGCGGCTAAAAGGAAAATTAATTTTTCACATCCTTTACCTTATGCTTGACAAGTTGCCATCCATCTTAGAAGAACATGCTTTATTTCATTGAGGCTCCATGGGAAGGCAAGATAGAACTTGGATTTTTGCCCAATATTCTTAATTCCTAGAGCTCAGAGGCTTTCCTTATGTTTCTGAATCAACAGCAGAGGACAATCACTTTGTTTTCCTATATTTGCTGATCACTGAGGCACTGAGTACATTCATCTTGCAGCAAATTTTGAGCATTGATAACTTTTAGTATAGATGTAAAGAATATCATACCATCCACAAGTTCTTGATTTGGAGTTGTTTATATGATAGTTATTTGTGCCCAAGGATTAGCATTTTCACAGCAGAAATCACAAGAGGCAATTATTTACAATGAAGAACTGATGCAAGGAACCTGTCCTAGAGGATCTTATGAGCAGATCCCATGCCTGCTTTTTTCCCAGTATTCCCATTTAACCATGCTGGTTTAAATGTTCACATGCAACTACAGGTAGTCCTCAATTTACAATAGTTCATTTAGTGACCTTTCAAAGTTATAACAGCACTGAAGAAAGTGACTTATGACCATTTTTACATTTCTGACCGTTGCAGCATCCCCATAGGCACATGATCAAACTTCAGTGCTTGGCAACTGGTTCATAGTTATGAAGGTTGCTGTGTCCTGGGATTATGTGATCACTTTTTGTGACCTTCTGACAAGCAAAGTCAATGGGGAAGCCAGATTCACTTAACAATCATGTCAAGAACTACAGTAATAATTTAACAACTGCAGTGATTCATTTAACAAGGTGACAGGAAAGATTGTAAAATGGGGCAAAACTCATTCAACAAATGTCCCATTTATCAACAGAAATTTTGGGGTCAGTTGTGGTTGTAAGTCAAGGACTATCTGTAACATAATATCTAGATTGGTCTCAGTTACTTCTTGAAAACGATAAATCATTTTAGATGTTAGGCAACTATTCTATTCAGTACAAAATAATAACAAAATATCCTATAAAATGGCAAATCATTTTGAAGGCCAAACACCATGTTAAGTATCACAAGGTCATAATCCTCTTAAAATACATCAGTGGGCAGCTACTGGCATAAAAACTGCCAACACCTTTCCAGCATCAACAATGCTAGATTCCAACAAACTATGTGAAGTTGGCTGAAAAGAATATACAGTCCAGATCAGGAAGGCTCCCTCAGGCCCTCATTTACAGCCTGGCCATGACCTTGTTACCAAATTTTAACTGCATGGTGATCCAAAATTGGTGTCCATTATTTGTTTGTTTTTTTGGAAAAAAAAATAACAGTGGAAATGGAGGCTATTCCCACCCATTTATTTATTGCTAAATAATTTATTATTTTTAATCTATTTAAATAATGTACATGGCTGTTCATCCTACTCATGTGACGCTAGGCAGTTCACAATT